TGTTTATTACCGTGTGGTGATCAACATGAATTTATTGTAAATGGTCATTTTGGTACTAAAAAACGATTGTGCAGTAATACGTCATAAGAATTGTTGTGTGATTGAAGATTTGATGTCCAGTTTTCTGTAGCTATACAAAACACACACAATGAGTTGTGTTAATACTAATGTTAGATGTAAATTATTGCCTGCCTACAATTGCCTCCAATATTTCCACTGTGCTAGGCTATTGCTTGGAGAAGCCCTATAGGAAAAAAAACAGTTGTTGTGACAATGGTGCTTTATTGAAGAGAAAAGAAGTGCAGGCAGATTTTGAAACCTTCATATGAGGCCAGATTAGACTGGTCTAAAGCCAGTGGATTTGAAGGCTTTTATTAGGCCCTTAGCGTCGTTATTGCGTATATATTTCGTTGCTTCACGCAATCCCATCTGCACCTGTTTGATCACATCCTTCAAAATCTGAGCGTAGATTATTTGCTGGTGCTCCTCACACAGTTCATCGAATTCGATGGTGCTTGCCACTGCCCCAGCTTTTTGTGGGCCCCTTTCTCCCCTTCGCCACTCTCTACTTGGAATATGCGACATGTGTTCGTCACCTGATTAGTGTGGATGTGTGGAGGATATGACGTTGATGACGCGCATGCGGATGTGTTGAAACCACGATTACTTCAAACATGAGGCGAAGTAAACCTTGTAGGACGCAGCGTGCAGTGAACTATTATTCTGGTCTATTAGTGCATTTCTAATTAGCTGATATATTAGGCTTACCTCATCTGTGTTCAGTGGTGTTGAAGCGCAAATAGGTTTATGCCATGAAAAGTATAACTGTAAGTAAGTCAAACTGTCTTGCTTCACGCCAACTCGGAATCAGTTCAGAGTCGTGGAATTGAAGGGTTACTGAAGCACTGGCACCACAATTTGACTTTCAATTCTGCTTATGAATTGGTGTATGCAAATTCGCTCTCCAAGGCGATAATTACCATTTAACATAAAATCCCACAAGACAGACGCTTTGACAAGAAAACAGATCTGTCGAGGTGGCATGATGAACCTCACTACGTGCCAGAACATTTTACGCATTTACGCATTCATGAATACCACATTTAAAAGGGCACACATAAAACACAAAGTCTTAATTAATTAGCTCGTGTTTCCAGAGACACGCACACACCACAGATACATAAATAGACTGATGTATTCTAGGAGTCAAAAGATACAGCCACATCCCCTCAGAGGTCTAACATTCACAAATGCTTTCAAAGATGCGCATCTTAAAGGCGCATTCACTGACGAGTCAGCAGAATCCACAGAAGAATAATTTGAACCATTGGCCAATTAAGGAAGATCGCAAAATGGACATCTTCAGGCCTTTGGTGAAACATGCTGTGCCACCACAAACCACTGCGTTACCATATGTAAACTACGTTTGCACACTCGCATGCTTCTCATTAACAAGAAACAAGAGTAAATAGTCAAATCACAGTAATGTGTAAAAGCAATAAGTTGAGTTCTGGTCAGAGCATCAAGCGACTATGGCGAGTTGATCGGCAACGAGGTTGCATTCAACCCAGTGTGTAGTGATCACCGATTCGAAGGCCACTTTGGGCAAACGCAATAACCTGCGTATTCTCACGAATATCAGCAGTGGGAAAAGTAAAGAATTGTGGCCGTCACATTTTACGCATGTCTTATTTCCAACATTACCCACCGGCAGATTCACCACCGCATCCACTTTTGATGAACTGTAACGTAACTCGTGGATTACCATTGCACGAGTCAATTAGCCTTGGTATACCTCTGTGGATACATCCGTTCACTCATGGCCGACACTGTTCTCCCACAGGACAGAATCCTCACATACGCAAAAACAGCCACGGTCAAATGCACCCAAAGTTGTATGGGTCTCCATCGACTTTGATCCTCTAATTCTTCTCTGAGTACATGATGTCGGATGAGACTACAATCGCAATGATGGTTTAGTTGGCCCGTTGTCGGTGTGAGGCCCACATCAGTGATGTTCAGCAGAGCCATGTAGTGAATTCAGGTCGAAGCAGTGCCCATGCAACGTGGGAGGTAACTACAATATGTTGCACCTAGAGATGACACATGAAATGGAATGTTGGATAATTAGGCTTGTGCGAGATTATGCGTGTCAATCGGCAATCATTCACACTGATAATCACACTGTGAACACCTTCACAACAGTTGTGGGAAGCCCCATTTTGGGTAACTCCATTGTGTCTACTTTGCCACACAACATCAATTCCAGTTCCTGCAATTAGGTCGCAATTTCACAACGATGAAAGTGGAGGGCAAATGCATCACCTGGACGAAACGTAAAACCAGATTCGGCAGACAAGAGAAATGCATTGAACAGGTCTAATTGCGAGCAAGCACGATACGTGACTGACAAGCGCACTTGGCATGTTAAACCAGAAACGACAGTTAAGTGTGCATTTCTGCATGTAATGAAATTCATGAAGTCAGCGCAATGTGCAAATGCAATAACAATCAGTTCTGGTGAGGGCATCAGGCGATTGTGGCGAATAGGCAGGCAGCGAAATCACACTCAACCCACTGGGTGGCTGACAACTGACCAGTTGAACTGTGGCCAGGTCCGAATCGATTTGTTTGCCAAGTGCGCGGACATTGACAGTTGGCCCAATGTGGTCAATGCAGAACAGAGATTATCGACACCCAATTTAGTCAGGATCCACCAAATACCGATAAGCTCAATCAGTTGCAAAACCTAGCCAGTCCAGTAGAGCTTGGTGTTGTTAGCGTCCACGATTAACATGCAGAAAATCAAGGATTGTCGGTTTGTGCAGTCAGCCGATGGGGTTTATTCGGAAATGAACTTAGTGGAACCATAACTTCGTGTTTGCGATAACTACCAGATTGGATTTCAGAGGCAGCAAAGCAGACCTAAGGTGACAAATCATATCATGTCTACTCAAAGCAAACTGGTACATGGCATTTGCGAGACAGGGCGATTATGGCAATCATGGAGCGACTATCAGGTATTCACTCCGACCTAGATGCAAAGTACGCAATTCACTCAATCATTTAGGAGTGTGAATCTGGTACGACTTAAGATTGGTGAGGCGTGACAATGAGATGATTGACATTTTACCCCAATCGTCACCACTGTGATGGGCTCAAATCGAAATTTAACTGATAGGGACAAATAAACCAAACGGTCATGCGGTTTTGCCCTGAAAGGCATCAAAACGAGCAAGTGGATTGCAGTTCCACTGAAATGCAACAGAAGACTGAAGAGAAGGAGGCATGAGGTGGGTAGACAGAAGACATTACTGATGCGGATCTGTACAGTAGGGCGTTGAGGTCGTGGGCGACAGTCAGTGAGTGACGTCAACGCGATGTACTCTCCACCGCTGTCCAAAGAATCCACATCTACTTAACGACGGTTAGAACAAATGGCATGTGTGACATTCGCAATACACGCATGCATGCCTTGAGTTGCGCTTGCTAAATGACGGTGCACGTGACAGCATGTATTTGGATTCATTGTAACGATAAACGTTGTTCAAGCTAAATGCACAAGTTTGCAAACAGACTTCTTGACTGGTGTTCAAGGAAAACCATCACCCAATATCACGGCACCAGGACCATCAACCCCTAACACAACCAGAGGTATCATTCAGGGTAAAAGCGACTTGATCTGCCAGACGTGGTTCCGAGTCAATGCAACCAGACGGTACAATGTCTCAACTTTCTGTTCGCTGGCAAACACGCTTTCATATGGCATTCATGGTTCGAACTTGGACTCATGTTCACAGAATGTGGACAAGGGTTTCAATTGCACCAGCTGCTGGTAAATCGATTCACGAGCATATAAGCACGCCAACGTGACAACGATTGAAATACTCTTCATGCAAAGCTGGGTTTTCGAGAGCCGAACCAAGGTAGCATGTGACACTGTTCTCTGATGTTGCGAAGCTATGTTCCCAGTACAACCGACTTGCAGCTAACGATTGAGAACGCAGGTCCTCACAAATCCCAACAGCAGGATATCGATTAGCCTGCACTGCGATTCCACAGCATTTGCATCTGACTTCGACCATTCGCATAATGGGCAAGTTGATTAATGACGAGGTATGAGTGAAGCATGGACATCAACCCTCACGAAGTAATTTGCATCAATTTTTAAAAACTCATTCACTGTTGCGGTCAATTCAACCACGGAGGACACACGATCCTCTGACGGACTGCTAGCTAAGAAGCTCCACCTGCGTTCGTGATCGCCTGGGGGGAGAACGCTCAATTCGGTTCACCCCATTTCCGCAACTAGGTGCCTATAGCCAAGCCTCACAAATCAACTAATTGCATAACTACGAACATTGCATGATATCACGGAATAGCGCGTCACTGCACGCTGCATGCGGTGTGGTTTAATTGGCTTCGGATTTGATGTACTTTTGGCTTCAACACGATCGAGTTTTGTTGGAATCGGAGATGATACACTTATCTACGTTTGTTGTTTACGCGTCAGTACACATCAGGTTGCCACACCCATGCCCAATGTTACACTTGGTTTCGGTAAGACACTCGATACCTCACACATCTTCACACCTAACCTCACAAAACCATACAATGCGCTGACTTGCATACGACGCATGTAGCATGCAAAGCGCAAATAAGCAAGATCGAGTGGCGGGAGAGGAGAGGTGAGCACATGGTGAGGATGACGGTGATCTCGATACTTGCTCTTTTATTCCTTGTTCTTTCAGCCACTGAGGCGAACAGCATTGGAGAACAGACAGGAAGCGAAGAAGAGATCACTATATCCAAATCAGATGTCGAGTTCGGAAACTATGCCGACAAGCTGTCGGAGGACGAGCTTCGCAGACTACGACAGGCAGCAGGTTTGTACGTGAAGTATAAAATGTTTGAAGTTCTGCAAAGAACGCCTCTAAATTGAGCAGTTTGACAACAGGTTTCACATTACTTCTTATGACACTTTGATTTCTGGAGCACAGCTTCTCTCCATAGTACATTACTGTTTTAAAAGCAGACACATCACTTGCCAAACGACTTTCACAAGCAAATGGCGTGCACTGTGCCTATGTCGGGGTATGGCTTTGCCGTTGTGACCAATGTGCGCAGACATTTGAGCATTTAGAAATATGGCAATTGGCATCATTCTATTCGTACTCAGAAAACAATATTTGTGCTTTAGTTGTGTGTACGAAATGTTGCGGCCGGATAGAAATCTAAGTGAAACTGATAAGCACGCATGCAGTCTTCATCACATGCGTGTTGATAAGTTGAAATATCGGAGTAACGAAGTAGACTAGTGATCCACACCAATCTGTGTGCACTTGTAAAACGATCTGGACATCTCTAATATACTTGTAAAATGACATGTGCGCATCCCTGTTGAGGAAATGAAATATGCGAAAAATCAGGAAAGGCAATGCCACACTGCGTACTTTTGCATGAGCAAAGGTCGTGGAATGATGGCTCAGGTGACGATGGTAAATTTGAAACGTTCAAGTGAATGAGCGAAGCACGCTGACACAAGCACACAAACACACCAGTGCAAAGCAACGTATGTTAACATGGTAAAATGTAGTGAATTAAAAACAACTCGATTCTCTTTTTAATTCACATGCTATCATGATTTTGAGAAGTTGACTAACAACACGGAAGTGCACCGTGCATAAACACGCGGTAAACGTCGTCGTATTCACAAGTATTTGTCATATAACTGCGGCTGGTTCACACACCAGGGAAGGATTGGCAAGGGCTGGTGACTTGGTGAATGGGTGTCGTCGTATCTAGCAAGGTGGACATGATAATCGACTGGTCGGGTCTCGTCTGCTGGTTCTGACGGCATTTTATCCACACCGAGCAACCGCTACAGAACTGTGCGAAGTCAGAGACGATTAAGTTTTCACGAAAACCACCGGCGCACCAGCGTGTGGGACATTGTCTGGAATTTTATGCAGTGTCGTGAAACGAGACTACACGTCGTGCGGGTACAACCACACAAACGCAGTCAATGAAAATAGGCTGCGAGTGTAAAAGGCATGAAGCTTTGAGATGCAAATTAGTTCCTGAGGCGTTTTTTTTCGGATGTGGAACGACCAAGCAAATTGTCACTTCAAACAATCATGAAGAATCCAACTTTTGTGAGTGTTCACCGATTCTCTCTTCAAAACGTCACAAACTTGCATAGAATAGCGCATGAGGAACTTATGGGACAGCGTTAAATTTCTTCCGTGACACTGTTCACAAATTTTGATGGGTTCATAGGATGAGAATGCACGTCGTTTGGGTTCAACCATGCAAACGGTTGTATTTATGAGTTAGCTAAAAATGCAACGCAAATTAATCTTTGAGCTGTAAATGAACTCATATTGCATATATAGGAAGTAGACAAATCACGCCACATGGCATTCTTGTGAGTACTCCCCGACTCTCTCCTCAAACACTAGTCTTCATGCACACACTGGCTCCTGAGGCTGTTAAATAACTCCACTTCAATTGATTTCAATCAGCACTAGGAACTATTTAATTCTGCTCAGCACAATGCCATGGCCACACGACATTGTCCTTGAACTTTAACACTCAAAGCCGAAAGATAATTGGATGTATGTAGGTGAAGTAACAAGAAATGAGTGAATGTCTGACAAGTAATAGCGTGGCCAAACGCAAGAGACGAAGAACAGGCTTGGACACCGTGAAGGTCGGGTGTTTAGGAGGGCAGCGAACGATGTGCGCGACTTGCGCGACCGTCGTCACCATTCAGTTCTTTCGATTTCACACAGTCTTTCGAGATGAGGTGCGGAATCGCTAAAATAATTTGGAATTATTTGATTTTAGGGCGGCGACAAGTGGGTGCCGAAATGAAGTGGCATTAAGTTTGGAAGACGGTTTTACTGAGAGCCTGTTTTAACCATAACCAGTTCTCGAGTGATTCATAATTGCCTGACGTGTGTTTTCTGAATCAGCAGGAAGAAAGTTTGTCTTGAAATGTAGCAGTTAACAGACTGCAGAATGCAGCTTCGATTTGACGGGCACTCGATGCCAGTTTGAGTTTGTGTTGGCGTCGCATAGAGCGATAGACTGAGCTCACAGAATATAATGGTAAAACTTTTGATAGTTATATCCCCATTGAAATAATTATGCGCAAACACTAGAATGTTTAAAAAGTTGTTCAAAAGAGCTAAACATGTTAAGAAGGTGAAAGCTGGGAGGTAGCAGCACTTTCTGATTGCGAAGGTTTCACCGTCTACCGTGAAGATAAAGCACTTTGTGTTGTGAGGATGACCATGCAGATGACCATGTCACTGCGACTGTATTCAATGACTGGCCAAGCAAATTGGCTGGTAATTATCTCGCGTAAAGATTGATTGACATGATAGACGCGGCGATGAATCGCGTTGGATTTTGTGCACTGTCAAATTAGGCACACCATAGAGCAGGAGATTTCGGTTCGAACGACGTGTTAATGCAGAAATTCCAGGTTGATACGTGATTTGGCTTCTAGCACAGCCCCAAATGTAGGACTTAATCGTGGAGTATATGCAAGTGAAGAAGACAAAATTGTTTGAAGACATCGAAAGCAGCCTATTTAGTTGTTGAACAACTTTGGGCTTGTGGCAGTGATTGGTCAAATATGAATTGACTAGCGGACACCATTGTGTGAATAAGTCAACATCGGACGTGATGTCAAGTCGGCGACCACTCAAGATTGCTTGATTAT